TGCATTTCGCGCACTCGACACGCACGATCTCCGCAGAGGGTTGCGCGCGGACCGGACAAATCGCACTCTCGCCTGCATTTCGCGCACTCGACACGCACGATCTCCGCAGAGGGTTGCACTTTCGGTTGACGCTGTTCGTCCCGCGCTCCGCCTTTAAGAGAGAATTATGAAGTGGGGAAATGTTTTTTCATTAGGACATCTCCCGTGCTAGTTTTCCATACTCACACTTGCCTACTCATTGCATGCTTGCATGCTCAAAGCATGCTTGCGTATATACCCTTCACTTGTATACTTACACTGCAGCTTACCGCGTGTAAGTGTCAGTGTATGTAGTGCGACTGTAGTGGAAGTGTCAGTGTGTAAGTGTAAGTGTCGAAGTGTCAGTGTTCAAAGGATTTTCCGGAAGAACCCTTCGCAATGCTTTCGGGAAAAATATGAAAACAACCCTCACCAGTTCTGGACAGCCACACACGGGCATTGCCAACGGGACAGCGGCCATCTGGATGCCGCGAACGAGCGCAGCATCAGCTTCCAGTACTTGCCACAACACCTTTTTGACAAAAGAAACCACCGGAACAAGGACATAGCAGAATCACCACATGACCAAGCACATGCAACCGCAGCTGCTTAAAACAACAGCATACAGCAAGAAGATGGAGAAGACCAGTCCGACTGCCCGCCAGGAATGGGTGGATCGCCAGGAGCAACGCGCATACAGCAGCGAAACCCGAACACTGTAAAATCCGTTCTGAAACGTGCAGCACCGGGGTGATTCGTTGCGAAGCTTCGTTGGGACAGTGATTCTGCAAGTGGGTGTGTCGATTCCTGGTGCACCCTTCAAGAAAAAGAGCTGTTTGGGCCAAAAAACACCTCAAATTGTATTCACATGTGTTTGTGCTCCCTGTACTCAGAATAGGCTTCAAGCCTGTGACCTCGTGACCTTGTGACCTTGTGACCTGTTCTACACAGACGGGCGGGTCAAAGGGTGAAACGTTCGCTTCGATTTCATCCAAGGCTTCGCGCTGATGGAATTGCCAGGAATTGTCTCGTCGTATCATGTGAAGAAAGCGCCCATGGCATCTCTTCTATCTCTGCTATTCGACGCGCCCATAGAATCCTGACATCCATTCCATCCGCCCGCGAACAACTATCACCGGTCGACGTCGTCTCGACCACCACTTCGGAGCGGGGCGGTGGGGCAGGGAACTGGAACCGCGAGAAGCACCGTGGGCAGCTGTCGTTTCAACCTCCGTGCTGTCTCGTCCTTGTCACGGTGCAAAACGAGAAGTCCGTTATAGGTGGGGTAGGTGGAGGACCACGGGCGGGTGGAGGGCGGTTCAATGTGGCAAAGAACCGCGATGGGTTGGGCTGCATGGAATCAATAAGGTCAGTGGGACAAACCGCGTGGCTGAAGGAGAAGCTCCTCGCGCCAAAACCCCTCCGCGCACCGTCCGTGCACCGTCGCGGACCGTCATGGATCCACTGAAGCCATGATCCAAGCCCTCCTGGATCCACTGCCAAGTGATGTGTTCAAGTACTCTTAGTGTCGCCGCTGGGGCGCTGGAGCTCGGCTCCCGTCGTAAAACCTGAGAAGGGCAGGCCATGCATCCCCTCCAAAGCCCGCGCACCGCACCAGGTCGCCCGGGTCGCCGCCCGGGGCGGCGGACCGGTGGGTCGGGGGGGTGAGGGACCGGACGTGTTGCTCGTGACCGGTGGAGCCGGTGAAGGGATGAAGCACCGTGCGACGACTGGGGCGGGTGAGGGGCGGCACCGCACACCGCCAGAGCGCAAAGAGGTTTCTGTGAGTGGACGACCGTGGCGTTTTGATGTGGCGACGTGGCGTGGACGTGGGCGTGGCGTGGAGGGTTCAAAAAGTGCCGTGGCGACCAAATCCCACTGGGTCGGCACACCCTGGAGGGCTTGGCAGAGTCCACTCCATGTGTGAGAAAAAAGAAAAGGCTCGGACGTTTTTTACTTCGCAGGCCGCCAGGAAGTCGGCAACGACTGGGAATGCGTTCGATTCATCCACTCAGCTCTGCTGGTGACCCAATTCTGCAGACCTCAACACTCGGGGTACACCCGTGGAAGGCACGATCTCCAGATTATCCCCAGAAACCACCCTCCTAGGATAAAGAACCACCCTCCCAGGGTTGGTTCGCAGAGTGATCTCAAGAACCACCCTCCTCCCAGGAAACCATCTGCCTTCAACTTCGCCGCTGCATCTTAAATGCGCTGTCTGAGACGACGCCATGTGCCGTGCGCCATCCGAGGTGTGTGGAAGTTCACTTTGCCCACTTGGACGGGCCGAAGAAGCATATGGCAAGCTTGGCTGTTTCTTGACTGAGATTCTTGCAAAACCCTGACCTTAAGAAGAATTACTATGATAGCATAGGATATAGTATCGGATATAGGAATATACTGACCTTTAGGATCTGGGTAGTTTTTGCTCAAGACCACGAATTAAAAGTTAAGAGTAAAGCTGGAGGAATGTGTACAACATCTTGGAATTAATGCTATCGAGAATGGGTTCATTCATCTCTCTTTTCACCAAATATGCGGCGCGCTTGATCCATTTAAACAAATTTAGAGGTGAAGAATGCAATCCTCTGCCTGGTGCCTGAGGTGTCGAAGAAAGCCACAAATGGATTAGGCAAATTTTCAGCTGCAATAACTCGGGTCTCACATGGCTGTGGGTCATAGCACCCGGAGCCCTGTGCACCCCTGATAGCTTGACCTCCCTAGTAATTCATCCATTCTGTTCCTGTTCGGAAAAAAACGGTCGGTTGGTCGCTCGCGTCTCCGCCACCCTGACCCGCCAGTCGTCGGGTGCCCGGTCGCTTTTTTTTCGCCGTCAGGTCGTCAGGCACGGCGCTTGGCCAGGCGCGCGAGCTTACTGGGCAGCAAGGCCACCTGGAGGGCGGGAGATGACCGGGTCGCGTTTGGCGCGGCGTGAAGATCAAAAGGAAAGGAGATGCATGTCGCAGCGAAAACAACAACCAAACTCATTGAATTTTTGGGGGTTGAAAGTGCACCACAAGAGCGACTGTACTAATCGGGTCGTCACTAGCTTGGGCTTGTCTTATCAGTAAGTCCCACTCAGAACAGCACTTCAGCGGCCCTCACGATCAACAGATCCCGCCACGGAGGAGCTAACTATGCACCAACCACTATAATGTAAATTGGTGAAGAAAAGCAAAACAGCTACCTAGCAGGATCCTAGATGGTCAGGTGAATGTGAATGATCTCCCGGCCACAGGGTGTCTCATTCATCGGACCCTTTCACGCCATGCACCGGCCCATTGGCATCCAGCGCGGTCCCTTCTGAGCTCAGCGACCATTTCGGCGCAAAGCCTCAGCTCGGTGCTCATGTTCACATCCGCCTCCACCACCTGCGCGCAGGGTGCAGAAAAAGCGAGAGACAACCACAGTGGGTGTTTTCACTGCGCAGTTGTCTCCGCCGTGCCACTTGTCTCCGCGGTGTGGCGCGTGGAAGAGTTGACTCTTTCTCCACCCGCGAGAGCTTGGAAAACGCGACGAAAAGAAACATGCCTTTCGGGAGGGGCCGGTACGTCTTTTCAGACTCCCACTTCAGTTCTCAAGAAGAACCGAACACCATTTCAATTTGTGAATGACTCAGAACTATGGTTTGAGTACACACATCCAAATCCAGATGGACATGTCACCTGCTGGTTCAGCATTCGGACTTTCAAAGCATTGTTTAATTCTTCTGGTCGAACCGAATCCTATATTGAAACACACCTGCAAACATCACCAAAGAGAAACAAGTCAATGGCCCAATGGCTTTTGAACTTTGTTGACGGTCAAATCAAAGGCATTGAGACCGTCCATCCTCTACATTCTCGCTGGGGGGTTCAAACCTGTCCCGAAAATATGACTCAGCTACAACACGTATTTTCCAAACAGGGATGGAAGACAAACAAAACCCAAGACCTACCCCGACCAACCAGGCACCAACCTCAGGATTGCGCTTCCCATAGTCCAGAATCTCTTCGTACTCTTGCAAAGCGAGCTTGTGCCTGAGAGAGAGGCCATGATGCCCCATGGATTCTGGAAAATATAAAAGTAAGAAACACGAATAAGAACTTCGAAAAACAATTGGAAGAAACTCACAAACCTCCACGAACTTCAGTGACTTCCTTGGGCCTTCTGGCCCAAGGGGCGGTCGTCCGTGGTCCGAACGGAACTCCCCACGGGGGTCTGGCGGAACGAAGGTCTCCTCCAACCCTGGTGTGGAACATGCAGGTGATGGAACAAGACCTGTGAAGGAGCTGTTTTTTCAATGGAAAATGGGTGAAAACGAGAAAGGAAACCACCTTGCACCTCTCAAACTACTGAGAAGCTGCTTTCCTTTGCCAGAGGTTGATACTTAGGTGTAAAAACCATCAAAAACTAGTTCAAGAAGGGATCTCATCCTCCCTCTTTTCCACGGGTGTCTAGGGTTTCTACACCTGGTTTCGCACCTCTTTCCCACCAAGAACAGAATCACGATCAGCCAAGGCCAGCTCCCGAGACTTTGGCCCTCACCCAAAGTGGGCCGCTGGCACGACGCACGGCCAGCTTGGCCGGCCAGCGTGGCTCGAGCGCGTGGGGATCCCAACGCTGTGATTTGATCATCCATGGGGATGCCTCGGTGAATTTCAGAGCTGAGCTTTGCTAGCTCAACACTGTTCCATGCTGCTGTTTTGCCATGTCACGCCTGATTTCACTTTTCTTCACAACAGAACAGCAGTAGCTCTGTCTCACTATGCAACTCTGTTCCTTTCTCCAACGCATTCGGTGGCAAAAGTTCACTTGACTCTTAGAATCTCTAGAATGCGGTACCAACATGTTGTTCTTTCCAGTCTTTACTTTTAAGCTATAGCAACCGCTCCCATCTTCCAAAAATGTACCGTCCCTCCAAGCAGACCTGGCCTCCTCGACCGGTATTACAAACCTGTGGTACTAGTAGCTTCTTGTTGCTAGTAGTAATGCCAGGAGCTACTAGTAGCAATACCCTTGTTACTGGTAGCTTGACTCCAAGCGCGCTGTTGGGTTTGCCAAGTTTGAATATATATATATATATATGCAGTCGATGGAATCTGTTTCAGTACGACGAGACAACTGGGTGCTACCTAGCTTGCGGCTTAGCCTGGAGGTTCTAGTCAATCATGGCACTTCATTTAGCAGGAATGACCTGAGAAATGATACAGGCATCTTGATCCTCCCTACTGCTTTCTACACCATTTGATATGTCTCAATCTGTTGGACCTGATAAAGATTTGTGGTCAACAGAAAAGTTCACATGTTTTGTAGATGTTGTATAGATGTTCGTGCAAAAAATAACCAGCGAATTGAGACGAAACCCTCTGATGCCTTGTACTGGTTTTAGATCGGTGTCTGCTTCTGTGGCCCAGGCCTACCATCTTTGTCCGGAGCCGTGCACGATTCAGCTTGGCCTCATCGTCGCCAGCGACAGGACGGGCATTTTCTTCCGCGAACGAACGGACTTGAAATAGTTCAGGCCATCGATGTATGGCCTATTTACCGGATCAGTTGAGGTGGTTGACCTGGGGTGGAGGCATACATTGGATATGGGCTTTTCGCAAAACAAGACACCCTCCGCTTGCAAAGGGTGCAGTCAGTGAGTCGGATGCAAAAAAGCCCACCAGCCAAAAGCACCAAACAACATCAAACAACCAAAACTGCAGTTGTGGTGAAATGAACCCAAAACTCTGCCAAGACGAACCCAAGCTCTACATCCCAACAACTCCACCTCCAGGAACGTCTACAAAAAGATCCCCACCAGATCCCACCAGCACATAGCAGCACACCAAGTCGTGGGGTGTATCCCAACTCCACTGACAAACTCACCTCTCGCCTTGTTTTTCTCAAGAGAAAACCACACCTGGATGTATGTGCTCGCGTGGTCCTGCTCCACCCTCTCTGGCGCTTTACCATCCTTAGAGCGGCCGGACGAAGGAAGAGCTGGACTGGAAAGGTTGTAAAAACAACTAAAACCAAGGAAGGAGTGAGTCATTTTGAGTCTTCCTTCGTCCACCACTACACATACAGCTTGGTCATCCCAATCAAGAAAGCAGAAAACATGATCAAAAATATGATCAAATTAAATCATCCAGCGTCTGATCTGATCTTGCCAAATTTTATTTTGGTGAATTCAAATGGACGACGCCATGTAATCGCAATCTCTGTCACTCAGCTCCAGGCTGTCTGGTAGCTATCGAGGAAAATACCGTAGTATTTGATGGAGCTCTGCACGTGAATGTTGCACCTGAGCGAATTTAGCCCTCTTCTGAACCAAGAATCAATCATCATCTTTCTACTGGGCTCTCCTGTGTACAGCCATGAGAAGAAGAATTCATTTTCTCATACAATCTACCAGGCACGTGAACTCACTTTCCATTTGCGGGAGGTGCAGCCTTGCAGCCTTGCAGCTTGTGACGGAACCAAGCTTTCTGGTCCTTGACCAACTCAGTCCCATCCCAACTCCCCATCCCACCCCCACCGGCACCTCGCCGCCTGCTTCACATCCACGTCTTCCTCCTCGCACCCGCGAAGCGCGAACTGAAAAAAGCGGACACCGACCCACGGAACTGGCGTTCTCACCGATCATCTTCTCAACCCCCAAGACAAAGCTTCCAAAGCATCCATCCATCCATCCATCTCCTGCCTCCTCGTCCAGGGAGGAGACCTTTCCGGACAAATGCTTCGGCCTCCGAACAAGTCCGCGCGGCACGGCCCCGCGGAGACGCACGGTGGACCGAGCGGTTGGGAGATAGTGCGAGAAGAGCAAGAATTGCCATACAATATGCATGTATCCATGTAAGGTTAATAGTAATAACAATAGTAACAATAATAACAATAACAATAGTAATAATAATATATATATATAACCGTATAATACCAATAATTTATTGCACTAATAATAGTAAAACAATATTAGTAATAATAGTACAATAACAATTTCATTCATTCACTTCCAGCCTGAGTACGGTCAGGCCCGTGTTGGGCAGCACAGCCATCAAGCTGCGGTTGCTTCTAGGAGCATCTAGCCACAGTCACGATGCAAGGTCGAAGGTGGGCTCAAGTAGCCACACCGGAAAAGGCCGTAGCCAGCAAATCGGAAAGATCAGTGTGCAAATCTTCGATGGGCCTCCGCCACCACAAATTCAGATCATCTTGAGGAACAATCCAGAACAGATAGGCTGTGCGACGGATTGGGTCTACAACTGGGCATCTGATCGCCTCTTTTCCATCATCGGTCATCCAGGAGCTGCCCGAACTGACGAAGAGACACTGGTAGTGGCCGCTGTCAGGGTCATCTCCGAAGTGACACAGGATGGCCACCACTCTGTATTGCAGCCAGCTGACATCCCGACCGGCGGGATGATTGAAGACCGGTACATGGACCTCAGCACGTGAGAAGTCCACTGGAGTGTCCCGCTTCAAACCGAGTGCAGGGAATCTTTCGATTTGCAACACTATGCATGGATGGGCATGAATGCAAGCGTTCGTGAACGGATCTTGGCCATGCCACATGTTGATCAAAACTTGCAGGTCGCATCTCTTTTCTTCTTCCGGCACACGAAGGAGCAGAGGTGCTAGGAGAGCACCGCGGTCTTCCGTGGAGTTGGCTAGACGTGTCTGCCAGCCATTGGACTCCATTCCCCAAACATGGCCATAGAGGTGCTGTCCTCTCAGCCAACCCAAAAACTCTGCAGCGTCCTGCTGCTCAGTGGAGTTGTGCTCATCAAACCACGGTTGCAACAGGCTGCTAAACGAAACTGAATTGCTGAGATCCGCACCAGATGGTGTATCGAGCAGTTCAAGTAGAGGCTTTCTCCACTGACCCCAAAGCTCCGGATCAAAACCTTCATAGGCCAAAGTGGCCCAGAGTTGTCCCATCAGTGCTGCATTGATGTAGCAAACGTTGGTGGGATTGTAGAGCTTCAGCCTGAGCAATTGTCTCATCAGCGTCTCACACGGTGGGCGATTGCGGTAGCAAGCGGGGATCTTTGCAGGCCGGTTGGCCTCAAGCGCAGCAAGATCAACTGGCATATCCCGCTTCCGCTCAAGGTGTTGAGGACGTCGAACAGTTGAGTCGAGGCTGACTGATATCGAGCCTCCATGGAATTGTCACCTGTGAATCTTCCGGTACTTGATCTCGATTCATTGGTTTGAGCGCGCTGAAGCGCTGGATCAGGTCGCCTTGGCTGGCCAGCTGTGAGAGCTGAATGGTGAGCTCCTGAACTTTCTCGTGTGAAATCGGTGATTGTTTCGTCGGCCGGAGGCACTTGGCTGCATTGTCCCATGTCAAATAATGCCAAGCATTTTCTGCTGACAGGATACCTTTCTGTCGAAGAGCTTGTACCAAGGGATCTTCCGGATCGTCGTACTTCAGCTTTGTCAGACGTTGTATCAAGAGTTCGATCACCTTCAGGAAGTTGACTTGCCTGAGCGAGCAAGTGACCCCAGAGTTCTGTCTCTGATGATGCCATTCCTTGGCTGCAAGAATCATTTCCGGCAGGATCGAGCCACGACCTGCTTGCAAGAACAACAGGAAGCTTCGGTCGAGTGCCATCTGATTCAGCATGTCCTCTTGCCGTAGTGTCAGCTTGGCCAACATCATCAAAAGCTCTGTATCCCCTTCGTGCTTCGAAGAGGTGGTTGAGGAGTTCGAGCGGGACTTTGATCTGCCTTTCCCAGCTGCCTTGCCCTGATAGGACTCTGGCTCTATACGAGGGCGCTTGAGATGGGCTTGGCATGTATCTAGCAGATCTGCAAATGACATGTCGTCCATGGACATACTGTCGTCCAAACTCATGAGCACCAGGGGTCAGGACGAAATCTCGTGCCAAGGCATGCTCGAGCTCAAAAAGCGCAGTGCAAAACCAGTGGATTTGCTCGTGCTGGGTCGTATCAAGGTTGATCAAACTGGGGTCCCACCATGTGTCCAAGCTACCCGAGTGCCAGGCCCAGTGTACCGGCAGCGGTTCCACAATCCAGCGGATGATGTGGAGTGCAGAGCTGATGGTCGTCAATTCAACCTGTGGCAGGTCACGAAAATGGATTGTTCAACGCATGACGAAGGCATACCAAATCAAGCGACGTTCAGGTTGGAACTGAATGCATCTAGCTATGGTGACTTGTACGGAATGGCTCAAGTCAATGGTCGAAAGGCTGTCAGTTCCGAGAATGAGACCCAATGCCCAGGTCGAATGATGTCCCTCGGCAGGGGAACGGCAGATGGGCTCAGTGCAGGTGGCGTCTGACTGTCGACTTTGGGTCCATAGTGGAGGTCACGAACCCAGTTCATCAGGAGGACCGGACAGGTGCCACGATCAAAATGATTCTTGAGTGCAAACGCCATGGTGAAGCTGGCTTTGCAATGCATGCAGCTCAATCGTCCAGGAAACATATCCAGGCTTGGTCGAAAGGGGAATGAGCTGGGCTTATCGATTTGATGCACTGTGCGAAGATGAGTGGCAACAGCTTTCCTACCAAGGTGCTCAAAACACAAAGGACATTCGAACTCTTGAACAGGGACTGGAATTTCAGTCGTCGATGCTCGAAGACGTTGTGCTATCGTGTCAGTTCCAGTGGGTCGACCCTTCTTGGCCGGCGGTGGGACTGTCAAGAGATCAGTGTGGGCCGTCTGTTGATGAGTCAACAAACCATTCAAGCTCAGGAAGCAGGCCTGACAGGCCTGGCACTTATGAAGCGCAGTCTGTGGTTTATCAGCTGGGTTTAGGTCACTGTGCTGCACCCGTTCCTCCCCCCCGCCCTCTGTCTTGGCCCTTTTCAGTGCCGGCTCGGTGGGCGGCTCATGTGTCGAAGGTGCTGAACCTGAGGGCACAGTGGCAGACCAAGGTCGTGTTCGAAGCGGCATGATGGGAAAGTGGTCAGGACTCATGATATGGCCAGACATGGCAGCTAGCTGATGATACATGACAGCGCAAGTGTGCTTCTGGAGGTCAAGGCTCTTGCATTGACACATGGGACACTGACCCTTCCCAGAGACAAGGTTCGAGAGACCACTGACAAAATCATATTGTTGCTTTGCAGGGCTGACTAACTCAGGATGCGAATCCGTATAGTGTCTGGTCATGGCTCTTGCGTGTAATTGGAGATTACAAAAGGCACATCTGGTAGCCAGTTCCGAACACAGTGCTTGATCCAACATAAGGCCCATGAAGGATCGATGTCTGATTTGCATTCTGAGCTCTTCCCGGGCGACAATGGGCTGAACAGTAGCCTGGGCAGCGTCGAAGGCATGGCACACACGTTTGTTGATGTGATCTCTAAGGGCATGCAACGTGGTGAATTGATGTTTGCAGTGTCTGCATACTGACCGTCCATCATATGAATCTCTCAAGGGTTGGAACACGTCTTCAGGAAGGCAAAGGACCTGATGCTGTTGTCTAAGGTGTTTCTTGAGCATCCCCGCCTGTGCAAAGTGTCTGTGACACTCAGGACAAGCAAGCGAGGCCTGTGGCAACGGTGGGGATGGCGGAACAAAAGCATTCATGTCACATGGTGGGTATGCTGGACTGAGAGTGCAGACATCCGGTTGCGGCTCAGCGGACTCCATCATTTGTCTGGCTTTGGCGGCCAGAGCAGTGGTCAACTTACTATGATGTTCAGCTATATACGTCCATGGAGGTTGTACTGCCAATCTATTAAAGAAGTCAGTCGTGCTTTCATGTGTGAGATGGACAGGTGAGTGTGTCATGCGACGATAGTGAACATTGATCATACTGACTATTCTTTTACAGCTGGATAGCGGCAAACCCATTTCATGAACTCCGTATAGGACAGTGGGCACAACACACTGCTGATATAGACGAAATCGAACATGTGCAGGAATGGATTGTGCCTGGAGCCATCGCTTCAGTATCGAATAGCAGTGTTGAGCTGCTTTGGTTCTTCTGGCCGTGGTGTCAGTTGCCCAGGCTCTGTATCCTATGATCACGCCAAGATACGCTGTTTTGGCCACCATTGGCAGTCGAAAAGGTGTGTCCGGGATCATGAGCTGTGGGCCATGTTTGGTCCGGCTGATCCACTGGCGTGTGAACTTGGAGACCCCCTTGCCTACAGCACGAAAAAGCACAACACTCTTAGTTGGATTGTGGAATCCAAAGGAGCGAAAAGTGTGCAGTATGGGCAAGATCTCCAAGGGCGTTCAAGCCATCCGCAGTGCTGTTCAACGTCCACCGGATGTGGACATCGTCTGCATAGACGATCAGGTGATCGTGCAACCACTCATGGGAGTACCTCTGAAGAAGTTCTTTCATGATTAGAAACATACAGAGGGTCCAGAGGATGGGGGCATCAGTGGATCCCTGTTTGATCCCTCTAGAAGCATCTATTGATCCAATCAAGGATTTGAAAGGTATGTGATACTTGTGGGGGGCCAACCATGTCTGTATCATGTGCAGAACATCCGGTGAGAGATTAATTTGATCCAAGGCGTGGAGCACGATATCTCTGCGGACCGTGTCGAAGGCCTTTTCCATGTCCAATGAGACCATGATACCTCCGAAGAGTCCCTGAGGACTGGCATCTTGTTGTCGATCACGACAAAGCTGTTGAATTTGCTGGCAGTGTTGTGAGACACGAAGGAGACACTCTGTTGTTCCTCTCTGCGGGAGGTAGGCATAGAGTGGAAGGCTGCGTAGAGTGGGATATGCTTGTTGTTTGATGAGGGTAGTTAAAATCTTGGAGACTATCTTGAGAACTGGATGCTGGAGGCAGAGGGGCCTTAGTGCAGCTGGCTGAGTACTCGGTTTACCTGGTTTGGGAATCAAGTGCAACCATCCATCCAGCCAATGACTCGGTGGGGCCACAGTTTCTGCACACCAGTAGTGTTCTAATGCGGCATGGATCGGTTTCGCCAGCTCCGGTGCAAGATTACGACAAATGATGGCGGGCATGCAAAAAGAAGCAAATAACTTTCATCTCAGGAAGGTGTTGAAGTTCCCTCAAAACGTCGTCACTAGTGAAAGGCAGAGTCTGAAGGGGAACATTCCCGGAATACTGAAATGAAGGGTCCTGGAACAGTTGGCCAAAGAAATTCTCAATTTGTTTGAGTTCAAGTGAGGGAGTGAGAGGTTGTCCTTGATCATCGGATCTTCTGAGGTCGTTGTTTGGGACTAAATTTACGGATCTTGCGAAACCAATCATACGTCTGATGACGCATGGCCAAGTGAGCACCTTCCCTCAGGAAGTCTTCGAGTTTCTGGCGTTTATTCTGGCGGCTGAAATGGCGAATTTGCTTGTGGCATCGTCGAAACAGGGTCAGGTGCTTCCAGGCCATGAAAAGCGTAGCTGGCAACCGATCAGTCAGTGCTCTCACAACTTTCCTGGCTTGCCACATTTGTGCAGTAATGGAAGCAAGTGGATTGCTAGCTACCGGCATGGAAGTTTGTTTAGGGAACCAAGTCTTGCAAAGCTCAGTCAAATTATTCTCCAGTTGAAGAAACAACGACGAGTCTCGGGCAATTTGTGACTGGAAGAGTTGCCTGGCCTCCCAAAAAAATCCTTGCCACCGGGATGTGTTCTGCTTCATTTCCTGTCGAATGCGATGGCGGTCGAAAAGGACAATCGGTTTGGGGCGTGGACCAGGATACCATTTAGGTATGGTCCATGTCAGGGGATGGTGATGTGGTCCTAGAAGGCCAAAGTTGAAAACGAAATCAGTGAGCAGCTGGGGTGCAGTCACCGGCCAACTGATCTGGGGTTTTCGCATCAAGGCAAAGTCGATTCGGCTGGAATGAGTACCATGCTTAAAGGTCGGCTGGTAACGATCATGGCAGTGAAGTGCAACAAGATTGAACTTCTGGATCAATGCGGAGAACGTCAATTTGTCTCTCTGCGCAGTTTGTGCATACCTGGGATCAGCAGTATGAACTTGATATGGTATGTGGGGGAGAGGAGTATTGAAATCTCCGCAAACAATCACCTGATGGCTTAGTGGCAGGCGTTCAAGACAATGTTGCAGGTGTTGCCACACATGTTGTCGTTTCTGAAGGATCTGGCGTGCGCCATGTTGCAGGGACCAAGCCTGTTGGTAAACGATCACAAAGTCAAGTGGTCTTGGAAAATTCAATCGTACCTGAAGCACACGGCCATGAACATGGTGGGCAATTGAGAGTTGATCCTGTCTGACTAGTGCAGCGCGCACCATGAACAAAATGGAGCAAAAGCGGTCAGCTGAATGCACGATGTGCCAACGCTGGGTGCTCCACTCGTTGGTCATTGACCAGCCAGATTCCTGGACAGCGATGATATCAAAAGGGCTATCATCACACCATTGCAACCAAGAATGGTATTCAATTGAGCGAGAAGCATTCCATTGAAACATTCGAAGTTGTCCAAGTCCAGGCTTGTGTGAAGTGGGTGTAGGCTTTATCTTACGAGGTTGTGGGAGTTGGGCTTGAATATGTTGTTTGATGCGAAATGGGATTTGATGTGGATACAGCTGTTTACCCTTGAAAGTAGCATATCCTTCCCGCATGGCTCTAGCACAGGCTCTAGTGTAGGAGCGCTTAAGGCGATTACATCGTGAGCGTGACTCAACAGGGCCGAGGCCCGACAACGCCCATGCCTCATGGCACTTTGCAGGAGTGCCTTGTAGGTCTGGTGCAATGCTGCTCCCACCCATCCCTGAGGCCGAATGGGTAACCCTCGCGCCGAATCCTTGAGATAGGAAAAACGACGGCAAGACTTGAGGATTCTCCGGACTTGGGACCGGACAACTCAGGTGAACAAGAACTAGCGCAATCGAAGGCCAAAATGGCAGCATGTGGGGTGGCATCGAAAGCTCAACACAAGAACGATCGAAACATGGCGCCGCCCCGCGGGTCCGTGAACATGCGCTACACTTGAACTGAGATGGCGCTTGGCTGTCCCTTTTGTCTTCTTTGTAACCTTGCAGCCTGCTTCTGCTGAAGACTCCTCCACTTCATGGCGCACTCGATATGTGCCAATCCATGTGAAACGGTTGGGCTAGTTGGGTTTTTAAAAAAAAATGTGATAACAATAACAACAATAATGGTTAAAACAATAGTAATAACAATAACAATATTAATAGTAACAATAATTGTAGTGAAAATAACAATAATAGTAGTAACAATAATAGTTATAACAATAATAGTTACACATATCCAGTTGGAGTGTTGTACTGGGAAATTGCTAGAAGAGTTCAGGTGGACAAGAGCCACGTCATATGTTGTATTCCACAATCTATCTACAGCTCAACAGTGAGCTTACCTCAAGTCCTTGCCGGAAAGCATATATAGGCAAAAGTCAAAGGAGGAGATCTTAGAAGTCGAAGGTTTAGGCTTGGCCCGTGCTCCATCCTCCCTTTGATCTCAACCCAAACCATGGCAAGCTACCACCATGGTGTGGCTGTTCGACCAACACCTCCATCGGCAGTCACCCAAACCCTGAGCTGCCAACATCTTTCCCTTGGACTTCAGCTCAAAAAGCTCCTCACAAGACGCACAAACATTTTGTTGAAGAACCCGACTGCTTCGACTCATGTCAGTTGGGTACCCCAGTATGGTCTTATTCACGGTCACTAAAAGCATTAAAAAAACAAAAACACACAAAAACCTCTCTTCGATGGTTGGGCTTTTCAAAAGCAAAAGCCACCTCCGACTGCCTCTCCTCCCTCCGACCCTCTAGGCACGGCTGCCAAATCACGTCCGGAGCAGTCCGGGGCACCTGCTACTCACGCCCTGCTGTCGTGTGGCGAACCATCGGAAGAGACCAAAAAGTGGTGAAACTGGCAAAACCGAGCGGATCTACATGTACATCTCGCATCTACATCAAGTGTTTTTTCTCCGACAGAATCTCATTCTTGAACCCCCCCGGGACCTCACCGGAAAAAACGAAAAACATTACACCGTCACCTCGCCATACCTCACCATTCTCAACCATCTCCACCTTCTCCATCATGTCTCGGAATTGACTTCCCGCTACGAAAAAGAATAAAAAACACTGTGGATCTCGGCCTGGTAGATCTCGGCGGAGCTATAGGAGAGCTGCCGCCAGAACCTCGTGGAAGAATTTTCACGTGGTGAAGGGCGCATGTTTTCACCGGACCGTTCGTCGGTCTTTGATGGTTTGACTTTTGTGTCTTGGAGGGCACGGGATGGCTACAGATTTGGTTGAGCAGCGCAGTGAAGGTGGAAGGTTGATCTTGGTTGGAGGGCGTGATTCCAGTGATTCTGGTAGAGATTGGAGGTTCTCTTCCAGATCAGCACTGCTCACCCTGGATGTGGGAACCCATGTTCACCCATGAGCCATGGGAGGTGTATGAGCCCCCCCTTCTGGCCATGGAGTCCAACGAGACATTCCCCCTACACTACCTGGAGATGTGTTGGGACCTTCAAGAGCGTCGTGTCGAAGAGGCGTGTCGTGTCGATAGGCGCTTCCAGCCGACCCAACAGGAAGGGGAATTCCACAGATTGATCATGGTGGCATGACCAAGTGGCATGACCAATGGACCACTCGAGTCACCAGTCAGTTGAGCCTCATAGATAGGGGGTGGCTATAATTACACGTCACATCTTGCAATAGAGAGACGTCCCGGAGCAGACCGGAAGAAGGCCTGGAGAGACGCCCCAGGATCCAGACAGATCCCATGGACCCTGAGACGTGGCCCCATGGTTTTGACCCATGTTCCGAATACTACACTCTGACTCACTAACATGGAAGTGTTTGTAGAGGACAGTAGTCTTCCAGGGGCCCATTGTCCACTTCCATGTTAGTGAGTCAGAGGGTAACCCAGTGGTGAAGTGCGGTCCCATGTGGTCCACTGCAGGGGAGTGAATCTCCAGGACCCAGGACTCGAGTCAGCAAGGGACAGAGCGGGCACCCACACCACACAGATCCCCCGTCTGATTCCTCTGGGCTACCGAGCGCCACGTAGACCTTGGGGCTAAGTTGCTCCAACAAAGGACACAGCAAGGCAGCCTCAGGCTGAGGCATCAGGCGTGGTGTGTGCCTCGCGGCTTGCTTCACACGGGGCCATAGGGCCCATCGCATCCGCCCCCATCTCATGCATCCCTCAAGGTCTGCCACAGCTAGCTAGCAGGAATCAAATGGCTTTGAGCAGCCCATACCCTTCCTGGTGCAAAGATGTCCTCCCAACTAGCAAGAAGGTGTGATGCAAGAAGGTGCTTCCCACCCAACTAGCTCAGGTGTTTTGGGCCGGCCCTGCAACCGGCCACACCCTTCTGAACACATCTCACCGGTCCCACGCGAGACCGCATCACGCGTGGGGCTCGTCCTCGGACGAGAGCGCCGGTGCACCCCGAGTGGCGGACGACTTCTTTCGGAGCGGTCGAGCTCGGGCGGTGTCTCTTTGGGACGATACACTCACAGGCTCCAGGATGGGAAACACCATATGATCTGATGTGAGGCACTTCTGGGAGACTGGTCGGCTCAGTCTAATGCATGTTGTAAAATCATGAAACATCCAAAGAATGCTGAGCATCAGAATTGAAGGAATGTGGAACATTTCATGAAACTAAGAGGAACAAATTGAACAATTTAAACATGCTGTTGAGATGGCATCCGATCTTTTCTCGACAAAAGAAGGAATGTGGCACAAACCCCAAAATGTTGCCGCTCGGATAGACCTTGCATCCTTCTTTGGACGGGATTCCGTATCCAGCACCTCCTACACTACACCCATGGCCCGTGGACATATATGTATATATATATATACGTTTATATTATATAATATAAGTTATATTGTACATATATAAAATATATAGATATACCTGGACCTTCAAGGGGTGTCCAATGGAGGTCCCTTAGTAGTGTAAGGGCTTGCATTGGTGACCCCTTTGAAGGTGCTGGTATATATATATATCATATATCATTATGTGTATATTATCTGTATATCTATAGGGTCCATGAACTGAAGGTCAGTGAACTGCCGCCTTTTGAACTGAGACTCTTCAGCCCACCGGGTATTTGGCCAAGGCAAGTTCAAGTTTCAGTGACTCATTTTGATGCCCCTTGGCTATGACATGCTATGACTACCCATCCGGGTTCTAGTTGCGAGGTGGTAGTGGGTTCTGTGGCAAATGCTCCATCCCAAGGTGCACTTGTTGAGTCTAAGAGATAAAGACAAAACAGCAAAGCAAAGTCGGGATGAAGAGCACGGTTTCCCATCCTGGCCACGGTAGCTAGCTATTCATATCGCAGCCGGTCTCACAGGAGAAGACGTCGACCACACAAGAGGAGGTTGAGGGAGCGGAGTCTGAGAGAGGTTTGGCTGCGGGTTTTTGCTGGGTAGGTTGGGTCCACCGACATGGCTGTGGGCAGCATCTTTGTCAACTGTCGGTGGATCCGTAGAGGACTAAGGGGTGATGGGAATCGTTGACTCTTGGGCGAGAGGAAAGAGAGAAGAAATTCTGCAGCGCAGCAGGTGATCTACGCGCCCAAGGCCCGCGATGGCCCGCGGCTCACCCACGGCGCAGGAGCATGGAGCATGCTACCTGCACGCACTGCAGGAGGATTTTTGGGTTGGAAGTTTATGCAGAAGAACCGCCTGCCAGCTAATCTGATTCGGATTCATATATAAGTGGGTGGCAGCACAAATGGTGTTTTTCCTTCACTGAAAATGCTTCGGCAAAACATGAGGACGAAGGTCGTCCAAGTTTTTTGGGGAAGAAGCACAACTCCAGAAACCGGAGCCAGACGGTGCATGGTGCTCCCTTGGAATCTGTGGACGCCATGCTGAGACTGCAAGTTCAAAGCGGTTGATTGACACAAATGAAGAAGAAACTGCAAAGACCTGCAAAAAAGAACCTCTGAAGAAGTAGTCTTGAGCTTCTGAAATTGCTTGAAGGAACTGAACTGCTTGATTGACTGATATACAGTATAAAATCATTATGTATACTCCCGCTGTCCGACTTGTTCTGCTTCCCTTCAGACTTCAGTCCAACTCTTCATTTCAAATTCATCTCAGGATCCTGGCTCAAGTCCTAGCGGAAGCTAGCAGACATATGGTGGACGAATCTTCTTCAAGCCCGACACCATGATGTTCATGAGCTGGACGAAAATCATCATGCCCTTCCAAGATTACAGAATATCTGCCAGGGATCCCGGTTTGGGGTGTAATAGCCCCAAACCGGGGGTGAAGGGCTATCCGACTATCCATGAACCATCCCTGAACCGAAGCTATTTGCAAGCTGGGGGTCATTTCGTACATGAGGTCCGGTCCCATTTTATGATGCGTGGCTATCGCCTTATTCGTTCCCTATCGTTTGCGCTAGGGTTCTATTGCCGCATGCCAGCATAGAACCCTATGTGATTCGGAACGATCGGAGACGCGACTCGAACGGGGCCTGCTGGCCTACTAGGAGCATTCTTACTACTAGGTAACTAAGAGGAATGCCACCCCACATGGGTCGCCCGGTGACCACGGCCGTCAGCCGTGGGAAGCTTCCTCCGCACGGCGCGACGCGCGCTCGACGCGCCCAGACGCTCCGCACCTGGAGGTCAGGTTGTTGTCGGGCATGAGGAAGGTAATCCTACCGGGTCGGTCGCTTCGCCGTTCTCGGGGGGTTCGGTTTCGATCCAAGAGTGGAAGAGGCCATATCCCAGAACTCATGTGGTTGTGTTGGCTGTACACTGTAATTTATCTCGGAGAATGATATGACGTGTGATGTTATGACATTTCACCGAAGCAGGCAGAACAGGGAGGATGGAAGGCGAGGGCGGCGAGGTTAGGGTCGATCTGCCGTTGGTTCCTGAGTTCTGAATGAATGCGCTTGAAGCCTGTCCGACGGGGCCATCGGCAGACGGCAGACAGTCGGGACCCTATATCCCTAGTGGGCTGGGGCGAAACCAGCCCAGGTGACCCCGAAAGGTGCCGGTGCTGGTTGATGAAGAAAAAAATAACACATGAAGACGAGTCTACAATCCATGTCTGGTGGGCATTTATGAACCAAGAGAGTCTCCATTCTGTTGCAGAGTGGCATGCAGCCATCTACCACTTCCGTGGAATTGGGCTTTCGGGGTCGCTCATGGTGGTTCTGTTTGGCTGCCTCCTTGCTTCTTTTTCGTTCCCCCAAATACCCCACCGTCACCACGTTGCAGCTGCGGCGTCACCACGTCCCAGCCACCCAAAACGCGTCACCAAGCCGCCACCCGGCGCCCGTGACCGGTCCCTTGGTTGCCGGCCACCGTCGCCCAGCCCACAATGCCATCTTTCAAAGCTTTCCCATGGATTCTGTAAACTCCCACCGAGGGGTCCAGCATGGGGCCTGGCAGACGCGACACTGGCAGACGCACCACTGAGGGGTCGGGGTTGCTTTTGGAGAGAGGCCAACGGGAGTGATCCGACCATCTAGTCTAGTCACGTCGATCGAAGGCATCCTCTACTGGTCGATCTGCTGGAGAAAAACCGCATGTTCACATGCATGTCCAACCAAAATCATGAAGGAGTAACGCACATAGGTGTAGCATGTTTGCTGCCATGTTCTGTTTTTCCAGCGATCGCCACTCCGAAAGTCGGTCATGGAGGCTTTGGTCCGTGTCCCAAGTTGGAGTGAACCAGCAGATGCGAGTGATCCATGAATCAATATATATATATATATATAGAGAGAGAGAGATATAAATATATATAGTACTGTATACTAAGCCTAAGCTTAATACTAAGCCTAAGCTTATATAATATATCGGATCCATTGTGGTGGAAAAGTCTTAAACAAACGTTGACTCTTGATGATGCCATTGTTCGTTGAGAAGGCCGTGCAGATTTTGTGAAGAACACCTGGGTGTTTCACCACCAATCATTCAAAGCCACTGCAGACTGGAACAGTAGGTCCACCAAGACTGGAGTGAAGGCCTTACTGGTTTAGGAAAAGGACACGAATCTTTGCACCCATTTGGCTGAATGGCCACTAAAGCTGAAATAATCAAGGGAGGATCTGACATGATCTGACAGGCTCCTTAGCACATCATCCACATCTCAAAATTCTCAGAATCCATCCTTCCTTCTTCCACTCCCTTCAACTCCCTCCTTCCTCACACAAAAGACCTCCCACCGTCGCCCACGGTCCGCCTTGGAAGACCTCAATGATTTCGCCCACGTCCATCCGCCGGAGCTGATCGCTCTGCTCGATGAGCAAGTTGTCGGACAGGACAATCTCCTTGACCACCTGGCGCCGCTCTGCTCAGCGGTCAGCACTGTGGGAGGGAGACACGTCTTCACCAGACTGAGGAAAGATGGAGAGAAAATAAGGAGAGAAAATGGGAAGACTTATGTTGTGGTGAACAGACTTTTCTGCAAATGTGAGTAGATCTATGGTGCTGTATATCATAGATAATTAGGTGTTTTTTCCACTTTGGGAGAATGCTTTGTTTTCTTCACCTGGGCTGTGCCGAGCGCGGATCCAAACATTTCCCCTGGCCCTGTCCAGCAAGCATCCGGAGTTGGAAGTCCTTGATTCTCTGGCAAACCTTGGTCTTACCGCATGTTTTCACATCCCATACGTCCATGGCATAAAAGACATGTTTCCTCCCTATATAAGAAGTCTAGAATCATCCAAATGTCCCAAATCACCAGGGAACCTGCTCTTCTCCATCTGTTTGTTCAAACATGTTCAAACCTCCAAACCATGTGCACCTTCTCCAAAGCCATGCAGCAGATGCACATGGCCCAACATGCCAAAAAACTGAAGCACCTTGTAGAAGATCCGGACGACTCGCATGAAGTCTTCTTTGCCTCAGCCAGGCATGGGCCAAATTCGAATGGGTCTGGGAAAAAAGGGAGCCCACACGCTTTGGCTGCATTTCAAGAAGTCTCTGCTTGTTTTTCACGGATGGATGTGGCAAACAATCCGAATGTGATATCCATCCGTACTGCAGTTGTCTTTCCCGTCCGAACCATCTCGGATTAGCAATGTGTCTTAAATCATGTTGATGTTGCTTTGAACTGTTGGACATGTTCTGATACCATCAGGATGGTGGCAGAGAAGCTTCCCTCAAAACTGAAAACCAATTGGTGGATGGAACATGCCGCAGGTGCTTATAGCACATTGTGTTTTTCGTACAGGACATTATGCTATGCATACAAATTCTGCATGGCAAACACGAGGAGGGCAAATGGGCAAATTAAGTTACATGGATGGCATGGAACAACAACTCAACTGTGCTCATGTTCACATTACATCTCAATTGCTCTTGCAAGCAACGAAGAGTGGTTTTTCAAGTCTCAAGCAACCCACCTCCTTAGAAGGCAGTTACACCCGCCTCCTTAGCTCATCCGGTCGACCCAGTTTCTCACCTGACTACCGACCCATCGAGCGAGACGGGTGGGGCACTTCATCACTTTTCTGGTACCCGAAAAAAACCAAAAGGTAGAACCTGCCATAACCTAAGCTGCCTCTACTTTTTTTGGGTACTACCTGCCTCTACTGGTACCCCACAAAATAGCCAAAAGAAACCAAACTTGCTTACTACCTGCCTCTACTTCCTAGGGACTCCCCCCCCCAAAAAAAAGAAAGGAAAAACACCTTCAACGGAGCTCCTCCCGAAGCCCGGCGGCGGTCGCAGTCCTCCCATTCCGACGGATCTCGACCCTGTGTCGAGACACTGATCTCCACCGCCTCCTGTGGCGTCGAACGGGTGCAACGGAGGGTCCCAAAAGAGAGGAGGCCTCATAAGGCCTCCAAAATCGGGAGACCTCTTTGATATGACTACATATGACTACTAGTGGAGTAGAGCCTGAAAGGTCAAGTCAAGCAATCAGACAGTTGATGTTTGAGGGGACAATTATGGGAGCACCTGGGAAACACCAAAAAAAACGGTATTAGCTCGCTTCTCTCACAGATCACAGCACGTCCAAGCTGCGAAAGATCGGCCTTGTCTTTCTCGGCCAGTGGAGGGCCCGGGAAGACTTTATCCAGCTTCTCATCTTCAACGAGAGACCTCGGTTCTTCCTATCACTCGTCCGACCCCTCGACCCGTCGAAGAGTCGGACCGACCGACCCGGAGAACAGGTAGGAGAACAGCGTGGACCGCCGTCCACGGATTCGGGTGGCACCACCCGGGCGTCTTGCTCTTGCGCGTCAACCAAAAAGCGTGACTTGGAGCGCTTGGAACTGCCACCGAACTGGCACATGTCGGACCCTGACACCGCAACGCAGGGGTTCCGGACCCTGAAAAAGCCCCTATGTGGGTGAGGGCCCGCATGTTTCGGGCAGAACGAAGCCGAAGACTTCATAGTAAACTTCACCCAAGAGGACCCATCACGGCGGCCGCGAAGATGGCCTTGAAGGAACACCTGCGCTGCACCTTCTTCCGTCAACGGCCGTTCACATCCCAGAATTGCTTTGAGGAAAATCTACAGGAAACCATGGTGTTTCACTGTCAAATACTATTGGTTTTCTGTCAATATGTTCTCTTAGATTCACCCATGCGCCCATGCGCTAAAGCCGATGTGTTTGTATATTATAAAATATATAAAATCCATACGGTCAGCAACCCCTCTGAATGAACCTGCCTACTGCCCATCAAAGCCCCTGCCACTGTGTCCTGAAAAGCCTTCAGGAGCAGGAAAAAGCTTCCGTCACAAGACCATATGACAATATGACGATCAGATTGTCTGTCCACTCCGCCATATCGTCATATTATATTATATTTTCGACCATACGAAAGTCTCATCCGCTCAGAAGCTCTTATTTTTCT